TGGCTTTGCGATGACAAACTTCAAGAAGCAAGACGCCAACATGAAATTTTGCTTCCTGTCAACCATGGTTTGTTTTTCGGCGTTAAAGGAGTCGTTAATGTTGAATCAGCTCTTCATGGCACCACAGTGAGCCGACAGTATTGTCTCCACGTGCCGAAACAATTGCCTGCGGCAGTGAGACAAAAAAGACCTGAACTGTGATGATAGGAGGACTGGTTGCTTCATCATGGCGACGCTCTTGCCCACACCGAGTTCAAAATCAACCAGTTCTTGGCGAAAGACGGCATAACAGCGGTTTCTCACACCCCCTTACTCGCCTCACTCAGTTCCCTGCAGCTTCTTCTTATTCCCGAGAATGAAGAAAGCTTCAGGGGAAGGCGTTTTCAGAACATAGGAGAAGTTAAAAAATTGCCGGGGACACTTAACAGTATGTTAATACCGACAAAGGCAACAGAGGCTGGAATGGACATTTCTGGCTTATTAGCCGTCGTCAGCCAGTCATACCCAACCTCGAAGTGTGGAACACCCGAGGCTCAAACTCGCGACCTGTTAGTTAGAAGTCCACGCCTCTAACCACTGGGTCATGAGCCCGTTGTCCTGTCGGTTTCGATCGGGAATATACAATGGTCATTTCAGTCTCCCTTGCCTTTTTCGGCAATAACATTCTGCCCATATCATGCGCCGCTGTGCGGCTGCTGGTTGGGCTCGAGAGAGAGAGCCCGTAAGGCACAATGGAACGGGGTATGCCCTTGTGCTATTTTCCATAATTTTGATTTGAATAGGGTTTATTTCCATCTTTCTCATGGCATACTTTATAGATAATGGCCGTCTAGAGACATGTTAAACGAAAGAATCTAGTCGTAAAGGCACTCATGACTGCCAAAAGCTGCATGTCAGACAATCTGGCCTACAGGTCTCACTTTAACCCTAGTTGACTTTCCTCCTAACATTCTGCACGATCGAAAATGACCGCTGCTCGCTATGGCCTTGTTATACCACAAATTCAACCCTAATAAGGGAACTCTCTGAACAGTTCTTCGGATGATTGCCTGAAAGAGCTTTTATGATATTTGGCGTAATCCGAAAGCCGCTAATTTTTCTAAAACTCGTATTGATCTTATCTTCTAACATTTGGCTCGCTTGCAACCTCACTGAAGAAACGTGTCATCATCTTTTTCCCCGGGTTCTTTCTGTGCTTCTAGACTCCCCGCCCACAATTTGCTCTCATGTTTCGTGTCCACTAAGCACTCAGAGATGTAGGCAAGGGCTGGGCGCGTATGAATGTACATTTCCAGGCGTCGCATCCGTCATTCATGATGTCCCAGGTAACTTTTTCCAGAAGGCCATTTACGTGCGTTGCATGCGGGGCCGAGTTGTTCGTTTTGGTTCACGACTGCTTTTCCTTAAAACCTAATTAGTCCAAGTAGATAGATGAAATGTGTCCCAATTCCCCTAAATGTGGGCTTCGTTAAGGCGACATCCATGTCCTGACCCTCTTGACATTAACGATCTCAAGTAACCAACTAAATATGTGGTGGGCGAATTTTCTAGAGGTACTGTCATCGGCCGTTTTGCCACATGTTCAAGTTTTAAAGGACTGTTTTGGTCGTGTCTGATCACGATCCACTGAAGAAGCGCACTCCATTGGAAGAAGCAATTTAGGACAGATTTCAATAATGCTTCATAACTACTCTTTCATACTGTCATATCTCCCTTGTTCAAATTTCATCATTCCTCCCTCTCCCCCCCCTCTCTCTCTTCCAGCTACCAAATCGGACAGTGTCACCAAAAACCCCATCTTGCAATCCTTTTTTTAATAAGGCCCCTGAATTATTGCTCAATTTCCCAAACTTATAATTCTTTTAACCCCTAGCAACCAATTTACAACCCGTTCTTGATCCCTTTCACTCGTCTGTTAAGCGATTGGCCAGTTGACGTGTTTGAGGTAAGACAACTATGATCCGCCGACGAAATCGATCCTTCTATTTATCCAGCTTCTGAACAAAGTAACCAGTCAGTCTTCTCCTTAGAGTACGTTGCCACTTTTCCAGTCCCTACAAAATCAGCAACTTATACTATATATTAGTTCGCTACCGCGAGTTAGCAGGCCTCATGGAATCGAGACTTGATTGCCATTTGAATGAGGCTGCGTGCGCTAACTTGCTTGTTGCACCATACAGTGTTGTCATAAACAGATTGCTCTTCTGTTGTCCTCCAAAAGTGGGTCACAACTGTTCATGCGTATTTCAGGATCCTATACAGTGTAGAGTGACAAAAGAAATCGGGGTTACTTCTCACTCACAAGTGGAAATGAGGTCATCTTACCACAGAGGACACTAGTAACCTTAATTTGACACCCAGGGAAGGCACTGGCAATGAGTGCAATACGCATCAGTATGTACAACAAGATAAACGTATCGAAAAGTGATCTAGAGGAAAGCCGAACGCTAGTGTGAGTTTAGGACGATGGGGGGTTACTGCGAAAACTGAACGAGTAATGACACTCTGGACGCTTACATAAACAACATGATGTTCTACCGTCCTGGTAGAAAAAGTGAAGTTGGCGAAACGGCTGTCACACGATGTCACGGGCGCCAGAACCTGCGGCGCGCAACGGTGTGTTTCGCACTGCTTGCCAGAAGTTTGTTCTCAAAAGGGTCTCAGCGCTGTTGAGGTAGATCGAAATCGAAGATATATTGGTTCGTGGCGTATTTTGGTCCACCTGTGCTGAGTCCGCATGAAGATATTCGGACAATGTCAGCTGGCGCGCCTTGCCTCAAAATGTGGCTGTCAGGCTCGGACAGGTATATGGGACACGGCAGAGTCCAGAGCGACTGAGATCGATCCGGCTGTGACATTGTTATGAAACTGTCGCAATGTGCTAACGTTTCTGGTCTGGATGTGGCCGAATAATGAGATAACCAAGTTTTCCTTTTAAATCAATAGCAGACGGCAATGGCCCTTTCTTCATTCGACCCTAATGATGCATCTTTTTTTCTGTGAGAGATGATAGGTATTACGTGGAGCACGAGAAGACCAATCAGTCAGTTTTTCCGGCCAGTGTTCCAGAGCGTGAGTTGGGTGTAGGGGGTGTAGGGGTGCCCAGTTGCGGGTCGACATGACGGTCGTGGTAGGTCGCTCATTCGCTTGCATGTTCTGACGACGTCTAGCGTCCATTAACTGGCACTCAACTCTTCCATGTGGCTTCCCGAAGTTGGGCTCTGCCTAGAGGCCACACCCAGGTAACTGCCTCGACCGGTTAAATCAGGTGAAGGTATCCGTGTGTGCATCTCTGCACACGGTAACTCGGCCGGATGAATTGCCGCCTCGGTATCTCTGAGATGAGGCTCGGCTGCAACACCGTAAGGGGCAACAAGGTAAGTGACCCCCCAGGTAAGCGAATATTGCTCTGCTGCCTTTGCTTTTTGTCTGCTTGTTGGTATTTGTCCTTGTTGTATACTAAATTCCGTCTGTTGCCTTTGCTTTTTGTTGTTCTTGCTTGCTTGCTCTTTGCATGCTTGTTCCTGTTTGTCCTTGTCGTAAGTTAACTGTCGTTCTGTTGAATCTGTTTGCACAACGTCTATATCTAAGCAACCAGTTAGTCTAGAGAGGGACGGCAAATCTCTTCTTCCTGTCTCTCTACCATTCCCCCCTCTCCCACCTTTAAGTCCTACGGCGATGTCTTAGACAGGCCCAGGCTAACTCGGGTCGTTCTCCCAATAAACAAAAGCTGTGACCCATAGTGGAGTTCAGCAGCCGACTGGGACAACTGAGCAGCCCTAGTTAGGGAGAGCACTGCTCACCCCTGCGAGGCGGAAGGGCCGGAAAAGGTGCCCTAAACAAATGCTGGAGATCCACGCCGTCTGCAGGCTGACCGTGACCGCAGACGCAAAACGCACGGTCGAAACAGCCAAGTTAGAAACAACACTTTCCGAAGAAGAAGATGTGATCACTGGAACAAGTTTATTGGCCCGACGTTTCGGGTTGTCACTCGAACCCATCATCCGAGAATCTCTCTCTTCCTCCTCCTCCCCGCCGCCCCTCTCGCCAGATTGATAGGGCGAGTCCGCTCACTCTGGCAGCCTGGAATGTTCGCTCCCTTTTAGGCAATTCGAGAAACAACCGACCGGAACGGAGGACGGTGCTAGTGGCTCGGGAACTGGCGCGCTACAAGGCGGATATCGCTGCACTCAGTGATACTCAGTTCTCCGAACAAGGCTGACTGGAGGGTGCTGGTGCCGGCTACACCTCCTGAAACGGTTTCTCCAGGGCGGAGCGAAGGGATGCGGGCGTCGCCTTTGCCATCCGGAACGACATCGTAGAAGGACTGACCTGGATGCCACAGGGTGTCAGCGATCGTCTGATGAGCCGTCGCCCGCCTTTCCAGGGAGGCAAATTTGCCACTATCGTCAGCGTCTACGCCCTCCCCGGGTGACCAACCCTGGCGTTGGAAGAGCAGATTCTACGAGGATCCGCACGCTCTCCTGGCGACTGTGCCGAAGGCGGACAAGTTGATTGTCCTTGGTGACTTCAATGTCTGAGCCGAGACAAACCATGCTGTACGCAGTTTTTCTCTTAACTTTTCACTTATCGGTGCTTTCTCAGACGATTTGTGCCCAAAATGGAGTTCAAAGGCGTTCGCCTATATTTCCCTTAACAAAACCGAACTGAACTGAAAAAGTTATGCAGCAAGTCGGCTGTCCCGTGTGATTCATTCAGATGGTGTGCTAGGTCCACGATGGCATGATGGCGCACGTCACGGACAGGTGATGTGGCGTCAAGAAAAAGTCCCGCAGAATTTCAAGCACGCCATAACCGTCCACCTCTACATGCGCAAAGGTAATCTACAGCTCTGCAACAACCATCGAGGCATCTCCCTTCTGAACGTCGCTGGGAGGATCTTCACTCGCATCCTTCTCAACCGCCTGAACAACCATCTGGAATAGGGTCTCCTGCCGGAAAGCCAGTGCGGCTTCCGCCGTCATCGTGAAACCACCGACATGATCGCCGCCACCCGCCAAATGCAAGAGCAGTGCCAAGAGATGCGGACCCACCTCTACTCTACCTTCGTGTATCTGACGAAAGCTTTCAATTTGGTGAATCGTGAAGGACTGTGGAAAATCATGCAGAAATTCGGCTGTCCTGAGAGATTCACCCAGATGGTGCGTCAGCCTTACGATGACATGACGACACGTGGGACGGACAATGAAACCCTTCCAAAAGCATTCGCAGTGACCAACGGAGTGAAGCAGGGCTGCGTCCTCGCGCCTACAATCTTCAGACACACGTTCTCTGCCATGCAAATGAACGCGTATCGTGACAAACGCCCCAGGATCCGCATCGCCTACAGGACGGGCGGCCAACTCCTCAACCGTCGGCTGCTGCGCTTTCAGTCATGTGTATCCACAACTATCGTTCATGAACTTCTCTTTGCCAACGACTGTGCCCTCAACACCATCTCGAAAGGGGACATGAAAAGGAGCATGGAACTCCTCGCCGCCGCCCGTGACAACTTCGGTTTAGTCATCAACACGGAGAAAACGGTGGTTATGCACCAAACGCCACCCGACCATGCCTACGCTGTACCCCAAAGAAACGTGAACGGCACATAGCTGCAGACCGTGAAAAACTTCATTTATATGGGCAGCACCCTCTCTCGCAACACCAAAATCGACGATGAAGTGGCCTGTCGGATTTCCAACGCCAACCAAGCCTTTGGCCGTCTGAAAAGCACAGCCTGGAATCACCACGGTCTCCACCTCAACATCAAACTGAAGATGTAAAAGGCAATCATCCTGCAGACGCTGCTTTATAGAGCGGAGACCTGGACGGTGTACAAGATGCAGGCGCGGAGACTCAATCATTCCCACCTCAGCTATCTTCGACGGGTACTGAAGCTGAGATGGCAGGAGCTGAACCCGGACACGGACGTACTCGAACGGGCGGGAATCCTCAGCATTTACGATACGTTGAAACAATTGCAACTATGTTGGAGCGGCCACTTCGTGCGGACGGACGACGGGTGACTATCCAATAGACTCTTCTATGAAGATGTCGCAATGAGTTCTGGCTGACAAGGAGGCCAAGTCCGCCGCTGTAAGGACACTCTGGGGACGTCCCTGAAACGCCTGCAGATAAACCCGGACAACTGGAAAGACCTCGCCGGGGACCGACCTGGAGGAGAGCAGTAAAGACAGGTGCAGCAGTCTACGAAGATAACCGCACTGCCATCGTCAAAGTCAAACGTGGGGCTCGCAAATCTCAGCTGCTCCCAAATCGCAACATCAAACGCTCAACCTCCCCGATATGCCAACGTTGTCAGCGGACGTTCCGAGCACTAGTCGGTCATACAGGACATCCTCGAACCAATTTCAGCACCCGGACTGCAGCGTATGCTGCCCGGGCTCTCGGCACATCATGCCACATGCGCGCGACAAGCGAACAGTCAGGGTCATGTACCCCTGCTCACATCTTCCTTGTGCTCATTGGCCACTCTTCAGCCTATGACATTCCCCCCCTGCCATATACCCAGCCGTTTCGACAAGCCTCTTCACTTGTGCTGTCTCTCGTACTCGGTACACTTCCTATTTCCAACTAACCCTCTCTTTCGCATGCATAACATTGGCGGCGCAGCCTAACGAACGTGTCTTCATTGCTGCCTACACTGTTACCTTTCTGTCCAAAGGACACCCAGAAACCCTCAAATGACTCGTGATTGCAATGGCGGAAGACATTTGAGGATTACATTGAAATACTTCCGATGTTGTCACCCACGATTTTGCTAGACGTCCCATCTAAGTTGAAACTCCTCCGGACGAATCTTGGAGAGTTGGGACAGCGATATTTCGATGCCCTCAATTGACAAGAGGCTACAGCTCCCCAGGCAGCCTTCACAAAACTCGAGCCAACGTGGGGAGGAAAAGACAACGTCTTCCTCAGTCGCTATCGGTTTCGTCAAATGCATCAAGTATCCTATCAATATGTCAGCGATTTTATAACGAATCTGGCTCTGGTCATCCAGGACCGTAGGTATAAAGAGGTTAAGGCAGACAACTTCGAGCTCGCAATGCTCGTTCACCAATTGATCGTCGGTCTGCGCGATGAAAAAGCTCAGAAATATCTCTTATCGGCGAAGAGCGATTTGTCATGGTAGAAAGCCTGTGATATCGCCAGTCATCAGGAGCGTGTACAGAAAAACCTTCAGCAGCTGAATCAGTCAAACGATGGAATGATATCACCCTTGGAACCTGAAGTGGCTGTCCCCCTAGTCAACACTGTTGGGTCTTTACCTTAACAACCACCATCAGTTCCCTCAAATTAACTACCATCCTGCTACGGTTGTGGTCTGCATCATACCCGGTGGTCAGACTGTAGACACCAGAGGACGGTTCGTCGGTTTTGCAAGAAAATCGGCTACATCGAACGAGTGTGCTTCTCTAAAAGACGAGAGAACACTGACACGCATGTGACCTATCCTAATCCAACTGGGGATGGCGAGGCGGTACTCCGAATGTTTTCGGCCAACACGCCACTCCAATCGCCCTACACCATCACGCTTCCGGTTGATCACCATCCCGTGAAGTTTGAAATCGACACTGGCCCAGCTGTTACTCTCACCAATGAGGCCTCTCTTCAGAAATTACCCTCCCCCCTCCTGGCTAGCTCAACATTCCGTAGTTATACTGGACAGAACGTAGAGGTTCGAGGGATCTTTACAGCCGAAGTCGAGCATGATGGAGAACTTCATTACTTGCCGATTCATGTGGTGAGAGGAAGCCAACAACCAAATCCCCTCGGACGGAACTGGATTAAATTTGTGCCTTCTGTGCTATCCTATGTACATCGGATTGGCGAAAATCCGGTTCTAGATTCCATTTTGGTAAATCATAAGGAAGTGCTTCGTGACGATTCTGATACCCACTGACGCGGTCCGCCTGTTAAGTTCCAGTCTCAATCAGATTTTCGGCCCCGGTTCTTCAAAGTTCGTCCATTTCCCTATGCAGTCGCACCGAAGGTCGAAGAAGAACTGAATCGCCTTCAGAAAGCGGACATAATCGAGCCCGTGCAATATTCGGAATGGGCAGCCCCAATAGCTCCTGCTCTTAAATCTCATGGTTCTGTGCGTGTCTGTGGTGACTACAAGCTGACGATCAACGCAGCAACTAAACTAAACCCTTATCCTCTCCTGCGCATCGGGGATCTGTACGCATCTCTCTCAGGTGGCCATCAATCTATGACTTTGGACCTAAAGCATGCTTACAACCAAGTTGCCCTAGATACAGAATCCGGAGACGCCACCACCATCAATACGCATCGGGGTTTGTTCCAATACAAAAGACTATCATTTGGAGCAAGTTCTGCTCCTGGTTTATTTCAATGCTTGATGGAAAACCTCGTGATGGATATACCTCACGTTTGAGTATATCTTGATGACATGCTAGCCACCGGCCCATCTTAACATAGTCATCTCGAGACTCTAAACATCGTGGTAGGACGTTTAGAAGACACAAGTTCTGAACTCAGGAAAGTTAAGTGTACTTTCCTTGCCGATTGGGTGGAACACCTGGGCTTCAGGATGGATAAAACTGGTCTCCATCCACTCGAACATAATCTCAAAGCCTTGAAGACGGCGCCGCGCCCCAACAATACTAGCCAATTGCGTTTATTCCTTGGGTTAGTTACCCACTTTAGCCGCTTTATGAATCAATCGGCTACAATTCTACAGCCTCTTTATCGACAATTTGGAAAGAATCGGTGCTAGAGCTGGTCGGAGGTCGAGCAAGGTGTTTTTGAACAGGCAAAGGAGGCTCTTACCTCCTCATCTGTCCTAGTCCATTGTGACCCTGAAAAGCCTATCATACTGAAATGTGATGCGTCTCCGTACGGCGTAGGTGTGGTCCTCATGCACCGAATGCCGTCTGGTGCGGTGATGTCTATTGCTTTTGCATCAAGAACCATGTCCCAGGCGGAAACCAACTATTAACATCTAGATAAAGAGGCCTTAGCAATGATGTTTGGCCTACATCGCCTCCACATATATTTGTGTAAGGTTCTTCAAGGTCGAGGCGCGCAGCTCCATTTCAAAGCTACGTGAATCTCTGCCTATACTTTGATATTCTTAAGCCATTAATGCCTACTTTTTACTTGAGGCCTTTTTAAAAGGCGCTATTCACTGTCGGCTAAAATTTTTTCCAGCCTTGTTAGACAGTCTGGTAAAGTATTCGTATTTTGTGAAGTGCCTTTTTAGTGACTCCGTGTCAGACCGTATCTTTATAGTTTTTGTAGTAAACTAACAGTATTGTTTGTTATTCTGTGCGTTTTATTGTACGTTATCAGCATTTCTATCCTTGTACTGCAACGGAAAACCTATACGGTATCCTGCAATGTCCCGAAGAACACGTGCTAAAAGACGAAAGCTTGCGTACGGCGTAGGTGTGGTTCTCATGCACCGAATGCCTTCTGGTGCGGAGATGCCGATTGCCCTTGCATCAAGAACCATGTCCCAGGCGGAAGCGAACTATTCGCAACTAGATAAAGAGGTCTTAGCAACAATGTCTGACTTACATCGCTTCCGCCCGTATCTTTTTGGCCGACCTTTCCAAAGTCACACTGATTACAAACCCCTCTTAGGTTTTCTGGGAGCAAAGCAAGGGATACAACAGATGTCCTCGCCAAGAATGCAACGATGGGCACTCACTCTGTCTGCTTACACATATGCAATAAAATGCGTCACGAGTAGTGCAAGCGTAGTGACTGACGCCTTGAGTAGTCTTCCCATTGCAGACGGCGTTAACAGGAATCTTTTACAGAACCTATTCAAAGCACCTGTAACCTGTTAACAAATTAGACAGTGGACATCGAGAGACCCTCTTATAAGTCGGGTAAAAAGTGCCTTACAATCCGGCTGGCCGCCCTCTACTTCCCCTGATTTTCAGCCATTCTTCAGCCGTCAGAACGAGTTGAGTCTACAAGACGGATGCATACTATGGGGCAATCGTGTAGTTGTGACACCACAAAGCCGACGAACCATTCTCAGAGACCTGCATAATGCTCATTCTGGTACAGTTAGAATGAAAGCTCTCACCGCAGTTATGTTAGGCGACCCAAAATTAACGCAGATATCGAAAATGTGGTGAAAGCAGGTCACGTGTGCCACATAACACAGAAGACCTTGACGAAGGTGGCTCTGAAGCCTTGGGCCCTGCCCGACTCGCCGTTGAAGAGGGTACACGTCAATTATTTGGGCCATTCCAAGGCCATATGGTCTTTGTGGTGGTTGACGCCCGCACTAAGCGACTGGTGCGATTCCGACAGGAAATTCCTGGTCTTCGCTGATTACAATCAACAGGTTGCGAACTGTTTTTTCTACTTTTAGATGTCTGAAATAGTCGTTTCAAACAACGGCCGGCCTTTACTAGTGCAGGATTTAAAGAATTCATAGAGAAAAACGGGTAACAATCGGGAGAGGACACCCAAAAAAATACTGCCGGCCAAAGCAGCAATCTTATCGCAAATGTCCTAAGCTATGCAGCCATTGACTGAGCCGCACACTGGCGACTGCGGTAGCCCCCTGCCCTCTGGAATTAATGGTAAAAATTGATAATCCAAGTGT